TCTTAAGTCAAAAGTCTGAACATCAACAATCTGTCCTTTTTTGTATTTTATAAGAACAGAAATAATTTATGCAGCTTGAGACATAAACTAAACAAGTTAATACAATATCCTAAATTGTCCCTGTATTTTTCACCGTAGATTATATTTTGGCTACATGGAGGTATATCTTTCAAAGGGTTACAAGTCTTACATGTGAACAAGACATTGAAGGAGTTTCTAAATGAAAATCCCATTATAATCCCGGTACTGATACAACCACCGGACACCATGTTTTTCAAAGCAAATGTACATATTTGAGAACAAGCTCATCAAAAATGTTCCATTTTTCACATTATTTCAAAACTTCATCAGCAGAATGGCTCTACACATTGATTTACTAAAAGTACACAAACATGAAAAGAGTTCTCAGAAGATGGATTTATGAACCCATATTTCTCAACATAAAGTGCTAGGAGATAAGGGAATGTCTCAAGCCCTTTGTCTTTCTCAAGGCTCCACACTGGGTGATGCTGCTCAGCATTCTGATGTTTTCTTGGGTCCAGGAAGATTGTCCAAGGTGGTGAGATGTTCACTTGGACCATCTGATGTCTCACCTGTGACAGCTAGATGGATGATTTTCAGCCACTTCTGTTTCAGTTCCTCACTATCTGCAGCAAAGCTGTGCACAGACTTGGACTGCGTCAGTTTGAAACTGTGTGGCAGATCTGCACTCCTAGGCATGTCATCTACAATGTAGCCCAGGAGCGGTATGGTGGCCTGGGCTCTGACATCCTATACAAAGGACATCATACATAAGAATATAAGAATATTAGCCTGTTACATGTGGCCTTTGCTCTTACACAACTCTCTTCAGACTACTGTCCCAAAGAGACTCACACTGTGAGCACTCTCTAAACAAAGGGTGATTTGGGTGTCTTTCCACGAGATCAGTGATAATGTTGACTGAATGAATCAGTAAGTGGGACCTGACACCCACATGAGCCAGAACTTACTGGCTCTAAAACTCCTCTCTGTAGGGGAGCTCATTCAAAGGTCATGCTGTTCTCCATTTAGTGAAAAGAGAAGATGGGCATGGGGGTGGGATAACTATATTACTGTCTAAAGTCAGTGAGCATTAATGAGGATCAATATGAGTTTTCTTTTTGGTCTTTTTGAGACAGAGTCTCCCTATAGCCCCAGCTGGCCTGGAACTCACTATGTAGATCAGGCTGGCCTTGAACTCACAGAGATCTGCCTGCCTCTACCTCCTGAGTGCTAGGATTAAAGGTGTGCACCACCATGCCCAGCTCAATAATGATATTCCATTTAGCGATTCATTCAACTTATTTATGAACAGAAAAAAGGTTACGGAAAAAACAACAAAGAATAAAATAATAAAATGGCATCTGAAGAATATTTTTAAAATAATTTTACTAGTTTCTGATTAGGTACAGGCTATAATTTGACAAATGTAAGTTTTGGGGTTTTTAAGGTAGATTCATAATTGGCTTAAGCGTTATTTACTTTTTATGCAAAATACAAGGTATATTCCAGGTTCTGGCTCTTACTAGAAGCTACTTGGCAACACAGCTGGCCCCAGGAGTCTAGCTTAGATGCACATAGCATTCACAAAAACTTATTACTGAATGTTAATCCAAAATTGATGTAACCCTCCTCTCCTTCCTCTCAAACTACCTTCTTTGTAGGTATGGTACCCATCTACTGAATAAGGAAAACAAAACTGAAAAAAACTCTCAATTTTTTCTAAAAAGGCTTTTTCTTCTCTCCTCCTTTGCTTTATATCCTTCTCATGCTCTTCACAAACTAAACTTACCTTTTCTCAGATCCACTAACTAGGAATGAGAGATACAAGGGGACAAATAATCTACCAGGTGAAAAATACAACTATAAAATGAGCTGATCCACTTAAACAACAGAACTGATTTTAGGTATTCATTATTTTTCAGCTTTAATGTGACAGTGACATTGCCTGAGCTCTTATTCTATTGAGGATCACCGCCCACAGACCTCCCTCTGTCCTGGGACATCTGTCATTCAAACACATGAGGCTTAGTTACCTGGGGGGCACCATACATGTACAGGACAAGGGGGTCTTGCTTGGGGATCACACACCATGTTTTCTGCCAGGGTTTTGACTTCTCCATGTACTGAAGAAAGCTGCACACCTCACTATTTCCTGAGACTTCTGCTGATTCAATCTTGAAAAATATAATGGAGAGAAAGAATAAACACCACAAACCAGATAAGGAAGTAACATGACAAGGGAACTGTAAAGTACAAGGTATTCATTTATAAAACGCCTCCCCTGGGTTGCACCCCCTAAAGACTTATTTTCCGTTGGTCTTTCAAACTCTCTATCACTAGGACAGAAAAAAAAGTCAGGTCTTCTTCAGCTCTCTGTAATACTTGACTTTGCACTTAAATAGTTAACATTTACTGACTGCTTACTAAATAGATTTAGGGGTAGGCGTGAGACGTGTATTATTCCATGCAATGCTCTTTCATTATTTCTGAAGCTCAGGTTTCATTTTTTGTTTGGTTTTTATTTTATTTACTTATTTATTTACCTCAAAGATTTTTAAACAGCTTCCCCAGAATATAAATTTAGGAATTCATGTGCTAGAATTTGAGCTCAGTCGGTCTGAATCAAGATGCTGAACCTTTAACCCTAATGTTTCAAGAATGCAAGAATGTAGTAGAGAAAAGACAAGATCTAAGCAGTAGTCACCCTAACAGTCAAGGTAATTAGAGACATTTCCCTGTGATCAACTTTTGAAAAGCCATTCAACTTCCTGCTTTGCTTCCTAATATAGCAGTCACTAGTTAATCAGGAACAAAATGAATTAACTAAAAGACCTTCTTATACAGATTTAGAAGTTAACTTGTTTGCTTCTATTCTTATGCCTGAAAACATTCAAATTGTGCTATTCAGTTTTGCCCATGGGACATAAGGAGGTAAGAGAGGTAAGTGTATGCATGTACAGAAATAAATGTGCATGAGAGCCTCACTTTGTGCCAACTAGTATGTACACCGAATAGAGGTCATCACGCTTTTCTAAAGAGGGTCAGACAGAACAATATGAGTTATTTACATGAAGAAAGCAAATCAATTCCCACACATTTTTATGTGTAAAATTAAAAATTTTAGTATGTAGGCTTTTATCAATAAGAATGGAATCCTTTGGAGGAAAGTAACATTTTTCCTTCAAACACCAACAACACACAAACCAGGCCTGGTGGTGCATGCCTATAATGTCAGCATTTGGGAGGTAGAGGGAGAAAGATCAGAGGTTCAAGGTTATCCTCAGTTATATGGCCAGTTCAAGGTCAGCTTAGGCTATATGTGGCGCTGTCCAGATTGGCTGGCATTGTCCAGTGGCAGCAGCCCAGGCATAAAGCAGCCTGAGGAGAAAGTGCTGCTGCCTGCATGCCTTTGCTCCTTGCTGGTGAGTGTATCCCTTCCTCTGTTGCTGTTGCTGCGTTCTTCACTGACATGAGCTTCTTGGCTTTCCAACCTGGGCTAAAGAATAGCAATTTTCCAGAAACTGTCCAGGCCTTCAGTCAATGACTTGGACTGCTAAGACATCCAGGCTTGTGTACTGGGTAGCTATCATGTTCTGAGACTCTTTAGTATACTGATGGCCATTGCTGAACCACCCAGATTATATTATCTAATATATATTCATTCTATCATTCTGTTCTAGAGAATCCTGACTGAGAGAATTCAGGTACATGATGATTGGTTTTCATGGATAGGTGATGATCTAGAATACAACTGAGCCATTATCACAGGTAGTTTGTGAAGCACCAGTATGGTGGTTTGAATAAAAAATGTCTCCCATAGGCTCAAGTATTTGAACACTTGGTCAGCTGGTGGTTCTGTTTCAGGGAAAGTCATGGAATCCCTCCTAGGATGTGTAGCCTTGCTGAAGGAAGCGTATGACTGGGGGTAGGGTTTGAGAGCAGATAGCCATGTCCCACTTGCAAGTTGGTCTCTCTGCTTTGTGTGTGTGCTTGAAAATGTGAGCTCTCAGCTTTCTGTTCCTGGGGCCTTGGCCATGCCATATTTGCTATGATGGACTCTTATCCTTCTGGAACTGTAAGCCTAAAATACTTTCCCAGTCCTTCTGCCTGTGAAAACCCTACCTTGGTCTGTCATATAAATAATACCCATATTCCAGGAGATTTCAGAATTACACTTTTAGCTTGTGGGCCTACATATTAATTTCAAATGGATACTGCAGTTAGCAGAAAACACCTTTACATATTTATTTGTAGATGCTCAGCAAGCAATTACCGATTCTTTAAAAAGTGTATCTGTGACTTTGGATGTAAAGAATTTTAATTCTATCTCCAGGTGATCTTGAACTAATTACTATGAAACCCTTATTATATACATTACCCCTTATGTTGTCAACACCTTTGGATGCAAAGTTCATTTTAGACACAAATTATATTAGAGCTCCTAGGTGAGGAGTCTGAATTAGCTCTAAAGTGAGTCAAACTAAAGTAACACTTCAGCAATAACACAGTCTTCAGACTACCGTCACTGGCTTTTATACAACAGAGTAGGCTGGCTATTTCAATGGAGTAAGGTGAAGTATGGCTCAGGTAATAATACAGAACTTTGTCTAAATTTGATAATTTTCATGCAGTAGTTTTCAGAGTCAATATGATGAAACTGAAAGCTTTCTTAGTAAAAGAAATACTATAATTTGAGCATTAGAAGGGATGCCAATTAATAGTCTAATACTTGGCTGTGACTTCCATCAGAAAATCAACTATCCCACCTTTCTCTATAACCAAGCAGGATCCCAAAGTCAACAAAATAAAGCAAAGATATGTTTTGTTCATTGTTACCCCAAATACTAACACAAAGACAAAACATATTGTTTGCATTCCTTACAGCTACGAGATTCTCTTATCTAAAAATCTCTAATATTTAATGTTTCATACCTCTAAAATTCCTTTTCTTCTCTTTTCTTCACTGTCTGTAAATCCACTTATTATTTGATAACAATCTTTACAAACTTTGTTCAGTCTTCCACCATCATATTCAAGTTGAGCTTTGTAGTCAGAACACTTCCAACAAACCACCTTGAATTAAAAAAAGGATATTAAAGTGAATAATTATATTTAAAAGACAATTAGGTTTAGGCAATCATATATACAAGAAAAAGTTAAAAAGGCAGGTTTTTATTAGATTAAGAACATTTTATTATTTATTTTTAGATGTTTAGAATTTCAATGTTCTTCACATAGTCACCAGAAAATACTAACAACAGATGAACAACAGAGGAGGGACTTTGGCAAATACCTGAAACATAGAGCACTGCTATGGTCAAATTCTACAAAAATGGTCACATGAACACAGTTCAAGGAACTTGACACATTTTGTTTTGGTGTGTGTAACAACATAACTGAAAAAAAAGGACCAACCAACCATTTCTTCTACCTGTGGAAAGAGAGGAAAAGAGAATTGTGGAACTTCTAGATCTTTTTCATGAAGCAGCTTAAAAGGAGAAAGGAGGGGTATAATTGTTGCTATCAGAGTACTGTCATGTTCCAGGTCACAGATTCAACAAACTCTCAAAGCCTTTACAGAAATGTTTCATTAGAAATATAAACAGATAGGTAGAAACTGTATGGTGTTAAACACAGACCTGCTATGTAAGCATTTATATAGCATGTCACTTTCATCTGTTGCATAAGAGTGGCAGTATGAAGATCTATACTCTGCCTTTTTGCCTGGAACTTTAAAATGTTCAGAAGGTTCACTGTTGCCAATAGCTACAGAACCCAGGAGGCTTACTGCTGTCTAGATTCAGAATCTAGGGTCTTCCAACCACCGTGTGCTAGGTCCCTGTGACTCCAGAAACAACTAATTGGAACTGGCAGAATAAGGTCCAAGGCAAGTACTGAGATCCACCTAGAAAAAGGAGAAGCAAAGACGAAATAGGCTAAATTCATTAGAAAAGCCATAGGAAGTTTTTAATTGCTTCCATTTCAAGTCAAAATTATGGTGGCCATTAGCTGGTAGTCTTCATCAGCTATGCAGAGCTCTGGATGTTTATCTGTTATTCTTTGAAAAAAAGGGAAGAATATGTAATAAGCACATATTTAGAAAACTACCATGTCTGTTAAACTTTTGTCAACAATCCAAGTTACTCTAGGCTCAGCATGTTGTTATTCAAAGGCAGCGTGCAGCTAGCTAAGACAGGTTCATAGCTGAGGCATCTCCAAAAAAGTTCTCATGAACACAGCCAGCTTCCCAACATCTTTAGTTGTGACAGCATTATAGAGAGAAGCATGGATGCCTTCCACTGACTTGTGCCCTTTCAAGGAGATCACATTGAGTTTCCATTGCCTTATTAAGAAGTTGCTTTTCTAAAGCTTCATCTCCTCTGGCATTACCAATGCAGAATGGAATATTCATCTTGCTTCTATTTTGGTGCCCCACTGGATTTAAGTAGAATCCTCGAGAATTATTAATAGTGTCACAAACCATTTGGGATTTGATGGAGCTAAGCTTCTCTGTGGCTGTTGCCCCACCATTGTTCTTAATCTGCTCCAGAACCATCTCCATGATGTAGATGCTGAAATATGGAGGCATGTTGTCCAGGGTTGTTTCCAGCCTGCACTTTGTATTCTAGGACTGAAGGACACTCTGAGGGCAGACTCCAGCAGGTTATCATGGACAATGACCACTGTAATGCCAGCAGAGCCAATGTTCTTCTGAGCACCAGCAAAAATCACACCAAACTTGGAAACATTCACTGGCTTGGAAAAGGAGCTGAGGGCACGCTGCATGCAAATCAGCACTGTTCCCTTGACGTCAAGTATGAAATCAAACTCCACTCAATGCATGGTCTTGGTCTTTTTTGCACAGAAGTATACATGGGAAGTTTCTGGACTGAGGTTCTATGTGCTTGGGTCTGGAATTTTGTATAACTCACAAGATTAGGATGGACAACATTCACAGTCCCAAATTTCTTTGCTTCTTTTGCAGTCTTAGCTGACCAAACTCTAGTCACCACATAGTTGGCACACTTCGAACTTTTGGGCCAATCAGATTTAAGGGGAGAACACTGAACTGGTCCGACTCACTTCCTTGTACAACAATTACATTGTAGTTGCCAAGAACAGCTTGCAATTCCCTCACAAGATTCTGTGTTGGTAAAAATCTTGGCACAATCTGACAACCTGTGACTCATTTCAAGAACACTAATGCCAAGAACAGCTTGCAATTCCCTCACAAGATTCTGTGTTGGTAAAAATCTTGGCAAAATCTGACAACCTGTGACTCATTTCAAGAACACTAATGCCAAGTCCTTCGTATCCTAGTAGCTGTTTCTGTATCTCTAAACATACCCAGTGTGGTAGCTTGGCAGCCCAGGCCCAAAGCTGACCACTTGTTCGATGGCATCCATGCTGATGTGGTGAGGCAGTGGAAGAGAGGCTGTGTGAACCTGATTAATTCATTTTTATTTTATATGTATGAATATTTTGCCTGCATGTATGCAAGTATACCTGTGTTGTGCAAAGCCCTCAGAGGTCAGAAGAGAGTGTGAGATTCCCCTGGAACTGGAGTTATGGAGGTTGTTAGCTGCCATGGGAACTGAATCCAGATCCTCTGCAAAAGCAGCCAGTGCTCTTAACTGCTGAGCCATCTCTTCAACTCCCTAGACTAAGAACATTTTTAAAAACATTGAATAATGTATCAAAGTGTCATAACACTATCTCTGGTAGGCTCTGTTCATCTTTTCCATCCTCTGAAGATATCCTGTGCCCTGGCTGTACCACCCCACCCATAGGTCTCCTCCTCATAGGGAACAGCACAGTCATCTAACAACATGCAAGCCATTTGTAATGCCTACTCACTATCTTGATAGATTTGATATTATTTCCTGCCGACTTTAACTTCTAAAGGTGTTTCTTCAATTTATTTTTCCAGGCCTTTCATATAATTGTTCAAGTCTAAGTCATCAGTACTCTCATTTAGAGTCTTTCATAGCTGCCTGACTGGTCCTTGTAACATTCTTACTGTCTTTCACGCCTCCATGCTAACATTCCACAAAAAGCTATTTTTCAAAATAGTGGGTAGACAGAGGCTGAAGAGATGGCTCAGTGGTTAACAGCACTGGCTGCTTTTGCAGAGAACCAGGTTCAGTTCTCAACACCTCTGCAGGCATTGCATATACACTGTGTAATTATATCACGCAGGCAACACATACATATAAGATAAATAAGCCAGATAGTGGCTAGAAAGCTCTCTTTAAGATATGAGTTTGGTATGTTCCTCTTCTATTTAAAAATCCCCCAGTCTTTCCTTTGCTCTTGGATAAAGAACAAATTATTTGCCACAGAACTTTTTCCTCCTCTGGCTCTGAGTCTTCAATGACACTAGCTTCTTATAGCCCAGAAAATGTCATGTTCCTTCCCTCTTCCATCTAGAAGTCTCAAGTTCTCTCTTCCTCTTCTTTTTGGAGGATGATTTCTCTAGCTTTTAGGACAGGGCATAACTCATCACTCCTCTTCCAAAGTTTCCTTTCATTCATAGCGCTGATCATTTTAAATTATATATTTGTGTGGTTACTTATCTGTATAAAACTCTAGAGTGTCCTGGAATATTTTGCTCACCACACACAAAACAAACATTTACAGAACATCAATGAATAGATGACTAAAATGTAACTGCACGTTATTTTAAAACAAATGGTGTTTTTCTAATTATTATCATTGTCAAAAATTTTTCTAGATTAAGAAATCATTATCTAGCTTAGGAAATTATATTATCCTCCAATTTATGGTAAAGTCTATTTAAGGATTGTATGAATTATTAGTTACAATGTCTGGACTACAGCCGGGTGTGGTGGTGCATGCCTGTAGTCCCAGCACTCGGGAGGCAGAGGCAGGCGGATCTCTGTGAGTTCATGGCCAGCCTGGTCTACATAGTGAGTTCTAGGACAGCTGGGGCTACTGGGAGACCCTGTTTCAAAAAGACAAAAAAAAAAAAAATGTCTGGACTACATTCATAGCAGACACAGACCTAGGGCCGAAAGCCCTGAGTTCAATCCCTACCAAACCCTTCTAAATACCATTGTTTTCTCATAACTCCAATGAAATTACTTTGGAGGTTTAGGGTCAGTCGTATATATCTCTGTAAACTCAATTCAACTACTTTATTTTCAAACAATATCACAGTATTTGATAATCTACATGACAACATTTTTATTTGTTGGTCAAAATTCAAGTATGCCAGTACCAGGGATCATGTTAAACAAACTCAAAGATGAATTTAAAAAGTTTATTCTGAGAAAGATGTTTGTTACCAATTTAGTTTTGATTACAAAACTGCCTCATGGAGTTAAAACTGTTAGAAAAAGAGGCATAAATTAGAAATATAAACAAGAATAAGCTAAGAGGTATCTAAATTGTTGCAACCAAGCCTACAAATAGCATAGATTATAACACTCATTTACTCGATCTCAAGAGAAAGGATATAATACTCAAGTTGGTCTAGAAAACCCAACACAGCCACTGTCACGTATCTGAGTGGGCTCCATTTCACCCTTTGATCTTTCCTTTTTCCAAATGAAACTCAGTTCGGTGATCAAATCAGGCTCTAATTATATAAAATAATTATTGTCTCATAACCAGAAATACTTCTTGGATAAATACCTTACTCAGAAAAAAAAGGTAAGTTTATGTTAGTTTACATATGAAAGACTATGCAAAAGTCACAATGTGGGACATGTTCTGAGTCCTGCCTCTCTCCATGGGGCAGGCTGTAGGTACTGCTGAGATGCTTTTCCCAACAACAGAACTAGATCACAGACACAAGAAACATAAACTCTTAAAGGTTAAGTTCTTTGTATAAGTTCTTTTCATGCTCTCTAAGACATAAAAAAATGAATCATAACAACTCAGTAAAAAATAAAAGGAAAAGAGGGAGCTCAAACTACAGTGATAAGTAAATAGTGAAAACTAAGGATTAGCAGATGGAGAAAGTCCTTGGGAGCCTGGACAACACAGGAGAGGTGAATCTGAGACCTACTCATTATGGTAGAATCTGTGAAAGGGAGTGAGGAAGTGCC